CCGAGGAGCGGGGGCGCGCGCATCCCGCTCCGCGAGATCCCGCGCCCCCGTCGTCGCCGGGCGCCCCGCGGCCACCCCTGTTCCTGGAAGGCCCTCTCGGCCTCTGCGACCTCCGCGAGAGCCGCCGCGTCGACGCGCGGGACCTCGCCCCCGCGCGCCCCCGCCCGCTCGGCGCAGAGCTCCCCGGCCTTCGCGACCGAGCCGCCCTTGTTCAAGAAGACCCCGGTCGGCCAGCCGCCCTCCAGCTTCTGTCCTGAGCTCTACTCGGCTTGCGGGGGCCGCGCGCGAGGGCGACCAGCCCCCCCCCCCCCCTCGCGGCGAGAGGCCAGCGAGCGCTCGGAGCGAGGGGGGGGGGGGGGCGCGAGGGCGCGCGCGCGCGTTTCTGCGCGCTGGAGCCCGTTCGCCCCGGACGCCGCGGTCATGGAGAAGGCTTGAGTCGGCGTCGTCGGTCTGGGAGGTCGCCCCCCCTCGGGCACGGCCGCCCACTCGGGGCGCCGCCGGGGCGCGATCGATCCGTCAGGCAGTTGGTCGAGGAGGCGCGCGGAGGCCGCTTGACCTGCGCCATTGCGCAACGAATCGGAAGGGCGAACCCGAATTGCGTCGATGGGCCCCTCGGCCCTCGGCCAGGCGACCGCGGATCTCCTCCGCAGCGGGCGCGGCGCGCGCGCCTGCGAGTGCCGCGAGCTCGCCCGCCCGCCCCTGCGCGCGGGCCCCCGCCGCGCCGACGCCCCCAGAGAGGCGCGCCGCGGCGCCCGCCTGCGAGGCGCAGTGCGTCGCGCACTGGCCGTTCGCATCCCTTCGCGCGCGCGCGTCGCGGCCGTTGTTGTCGCCGTCGCGCGCTGCGTCTTTGTTGGCGCGGCGGGCGATGGCCATGTCGGCGGCTGCCGATGCGCAGTTCGCCGCGCGGTCCCGGCGCCGCCCTTGCCCGACCGCCTCGCGGCCGCCGCGCCAGCGGCACGGGTCGCCACGAGAAGGAGGACCAGGAAGAAAAAGCCTGGAAGTGGACAGGAGGAGGAAGACGGGGAGACTAGGAACACCACTAAATATTGCGCCGACGGGGGCCAGGGCGGATGCGGGGCAAGCGGCGGGAAGGAGTGGACCAATGAAGCGAAAACGAATCGATGGTCCTCTTCCCAAGGCGATCCGAACCGACCACCCCTCGCGTCTCGAATCGCTGACACGACCGCCGCGCCAACGCAGCGACCGCTGTCGACGCGGGAAGGGTGAGACGATCGGGAGAAACGCCAAGAAAAATGCAGGGGCCGATGGCGAGGGCAACAGGAAAGCAGAAGAACAACCAGGCGAAAGGCACGGGGGGGCGGATTGGGGCCAAGAAAAATGCAGGGGCCGATGGCGAGGGCAACAGGAAAGCAGAAGAACAACCAGGCGAAAGGCACGGGGGGGCGGATTGGGGCGGGCAGGGGGGGAGGGGGGGCGCGGGCAGCGACGCTTACAGCGTTTACATCGTCGCCCTCTTCCCACGGAGTTTCGACGGGCGGCTGCGAGTGCAGGTCGAAGGCCCGCTGCGATGGCCCCCCCCGCCCCCCCCCCGCCCCCTTCTTCCGCCCCCCCCCCTCCCGCTTGTCGCCATATCGTGTGTCAAATGTTGTTGGTCACCCGCTCCTTCCATTCATCTATGTGCTTCTCCTTCTTTTATGTGTTTTCATTGTCTCTCTCCCTCCTCTCTTTCTTCTCTCTCTCTCCTCTCTCTCTCTCTCTCTCTCTCTCTCTCTCTCTCTCTCTCTCTCTCTCTCTCCTCTCTCTCTCTCCTCTCTCTCCTCTCTCTCTCTCTCTCTCTCTCTCTCTCTCTCTCTTCTCTCTCTTATGTTTCTTTTTCTTGTTATTTATCTTTCTCTCTCTTTCTCTCTCTTTCTCTCCCTTTCTCTGTCTCTCTCTCTCTCTCTCTCTCTCTCTCTCTCTCTCTCTCTGTCTCGCTCTCGCTCTCGGGCTCGGGCTCTCTCTCTCTCTCTTCTTCTCTCTCTCTCTCTCTCTCTCTCCTCTTCTCTATCTATGTTTCTCTCTCTCTCCCCTTCTCCTCTCTCTCTCCTCTGTATCCTCGTTTTTCTCTTTTTTTTTTTTTCTCTCGCTCTCTCTCTCTCTCTCCTCTCTCTCCTCTTTTCTCCTCTCTCTCTCTCTCTCTCTCTCTCTCTCTCTCTCTCTCCTCTCTCTCTCTCCTCTCTCTTTCTCTCACTCTCTCTCTCTCTCTCTCTCTCTCTCTCTCTCTCTCTCTCTATATCTCTCTCTCTCTCTCTCTCTCTCTCTCTCTCTCTCTCTCTCTCTCTCTCTCTCTCTCTCTCTCACTCTCTCTCTGCTGCAGCCTCGGCGGCGGGCGGCACAGGCGGCTCCCGCCAGCCCAGCCCAACACCCTGCGCAGCGCCGATCCGCTCCCCGAGCAGGGCGGACTCTGCGCGCGCTAACGCCCAGGCGACCTCGCCACGCGACCGCCACACGGGCGGGCGCGTCCCGCGCAGCCGGTCCTGCAGCCGCCACAGCTCGCGCAAGGCCCCTGGGAGCTCCACGAGCTCGCCGCCCCGCGAGACTCAGGCTGATGGCCAAGCCCCCGAGGTGGTACCACGCTTCGGTGCCAGCGCCATCGAACCTGGCCAGGTCGACCTCGCGCCGACGCCGTCCACGGACCAGGAGCTGCCACCGCCCACCCGCGTTGTTGTCCCCATCGACGAGGCGCCGACCTTCGACCCCTTCAAGAACAAGTACCGCGTCAAGGACCTCGCGGCGGGCTTCGGCGGCGGCTCACCGCTCTCTCCACAGAGTCGTGGCGGGGCCCCCGCCACTTCAGCCGCTGCCGCGGCAGCGGCGGCCCCGCGTGGAGTCAGCCCTGTCCGCAACGCGTGCCTCACGGCAGCGGGCATGGACGAGGCTCAGCGCCAGGCCACCGACCGCGCTGCTCGAGCTGTTCCACCCGATGCTGCTCATCACGGTACTGACGGGGCGGGCGCGCCGCCGCAGGACGGACCAGCGGTGTCGCGCGCGCAGTATATGCGCGCGCATTGCGCCGCTGCCGCGCCGAGCTGCCGCCGCCGGTTTGCTTTTGCTCTTGCTCTTGCGTTCGGCAGGACGGATCGAGGAGTCGCCTCCCTCTCCCTCTGCTGCCATCTCACCTCTCCTCCCCTCGTCCCCCACGGTACAGGAGTGAGGAGGATTTTTCGAGGCAGTTTTGCCGATGTTTATGAACCCCCCCTGGCGCAGTGTCGACCATGCCTCGCCTATACTTCTGGCCTGACGGCGGCTTCAGCCCCTTCAAGCCAATCTGCAGGGACGCCATGAGCTCCTACTGCGGCCAAGCCTTCTACCTGGGTGAGGGCCAGGCTGCCCTCCACCGCGCGGGGCGTGCCAACCCCAGCTCCACCGACGGAGACGGGCCAGGTCGCTCCATCCACCTCGTCAGCCTCAACATCACGAGTCTCCCAGCGAACTGGCCAACCATCACCGCTCTAGGTGTCGACCACAACGCCGCAGTCATAGCACTGCAGGAGACCCGACATGCCAAGCCTACCAGACAAGCCATCGCTACCAACGCCGCAAATCCACACCACGGGTGATATCATGCCAGTCTGGGGCCTGACCTGGATCTGGCGCGAGCCCAGCGCAAAGCTGCTCACGGCGGCACAGACCACACGGTCGAGGGCAACACAGGCGCCTCGGGAGGGGTCGCCATCCTCTCTAAGGACGCCATCGTCGACTCCACCGTCGACGACACTGCGTCCTGTATCGCCACCCTCAAGGCCAAGAAAAGATGGCACGAGGCCTCCCTCCCGCTCTGCACCCAGCACCGCCGCAGGCGGCGACGAAACAACCACGGGCCCGCTGGGATCTACATAGCGAGCCTCTACGGGGTCGCTGGAGGAGACAGCACCGACTTGTTTCGGCTTGCTGACTGCGCCGCCGCGAGGGTCGGCTCAGCCCCGTATTTCATTTGCATGGACGCCAACACGAACATCGACGACAACCCACACCTGCTGCACATGATGCAGCACGGATGGTTTAACGTCGCTGAAGGCACACCAGACCACACCATGCACACATATGGCAATATCCCTGACTGGGACCGCGTCACCAAGTGCCCCCGCACTTCGCGCATCGATTACATCATCGCCAACCAAGCGGCGCGATCCCTTGTCACCGACTTCTGCTATCTGCGTGACTTGCCAGCGAAGTCCCATGTTGGCCTGCAGGTCACGCTCGACCTTAGCCGCCTCGACCATACGGCCCGACGCCTTCTAGCCCCCACGCCCTACCCTCCTAACGACGGAGCTCATGAGGACCACGAACTTCAGGCATTAGGGACCCTCATCGCAGGGCGATACCATGACCGCATGGAGCAGGCCGACACACGCGGCGATGTGGAACGCATGTTCGCCCTGGCAAACGAGGCCAGCCATGAGTATCATCTCACCCGGCTGCGCGACCTGCCACCTCCACCGCCAGACCATCCAAAAAAGAAGCCCCCTACCATGCACGGGCTCACACCCACGTTCGAGGAGCGACCCGCTGTCCCCCGCGCCTCCCCAACCTACGGAGCTTCCACGATTCACATGAACCGCCTTCGCAAGCTTCATCGGCAACTTTGTGAGCTTCGCTTCATCGGACAGCACCATCATATCGACTGCCGTGCCATCCCGCCGTACCTGGCGCAGCGCATCGACTGCACGTGGACCGCGGCTGAGGGGGTCCGCGAGCCAAGCGGGCGAAAGGCGGCCATATACGCACGGGCTGCCGACTGCTCGCCCACGGCGTATCTCCGCACGCCTACCACTCCCGACGATACACAGCTCCACTGCGACACCACCGCCTTCAACCCTGACCAAGCTTGCACGGACGATAGTGATGCCGACACCGACGCTGGCGGCTTCAGCCCCAGCGACGGTAGCTCGCTCGACACGGACAACGACGAAGGCCACACTTGTGACCCACCACCTGCCCAGGTTCCCGACGCCCTCCCCGCCAACGCCATTGTTGCCAATACCAAAGACATGCTTAAG